GAGTGTCCGTCCGTGTGTGTCTGTCCGTGTGTGTCTGTCTGTGTGTGTCTGTGGAGTGTCCGTCCGTGTGTGTCTGTCCGTGTGTGTCTGTGGAGTGTCTGTCCGTGTGTGTCTGTCTGTGTGTGTGTCTGTGGAGTGTCTGTCCGTGTGTGTCTGTCCGTGCGTGTCTGTGGAGTGTCTTTCCGTGTGTCTGTCCGTGTGTGTCTGTCCGTGTGTGTCTGTGGAGTGTCTGTCCGTGTGTGTCTGTGGAGTGTCTGTCCGTGTGTGTATGTGGAGTGTGTGTCTGTCCGTGTGTGTCTGTCCGTGTGTGTCTGTGGAGTATCTGTCTGTCCGTGTGTCTGTGGAGTGTCTGTCCGTGTGTGTCTGTCCGTGTGTGTCTGTCCGTGTGTCTGTGGAGTGTCTGTCCGTGTGTGTCTGTCCGTGTGTCTGTCCGTGTGTGTCTGTGGAGTGTCTGTCCGTGTGTGTCTGTCCGTGTGTGTCTGGAGTATGTCTGTCCGTGTGTCTGTGGAGTGTGTGTCTGTCCGTGTGTGTCTGTCCGTGTGTGTCTGTCCGTGTGTGTCTGTGGAGTGTCTGTGGTGTGTCTGTGAAGTGTGTGTCTGTCCGTGTGTGTCTGTGTGTGTCTGTCCGTGTGTCTGTGTGTGTCTGTCCGTGTGTGTCTGTGGAGTGTCTGTGGTGTGTCTGTCCGTGTGCGTCTGTCCGTGTGCGTCTGTGAAGTGTGCGTCTGTCCGTGTGTGTCTGTCCGTGTGTCTGTGGAGTGTGTCTGTGAAGTGTCTGTGGTGTGTCTGTCCGTGTGTGTCTGTCCATGTGTGTCTGTGGAGTGTATGTCTGTCCGTGTGTGTCTGTGGAGTGTCTTTCTGTCTTTCACGTCGTCTTGTGCCAATTAAATTGTCCGTCAACCCACGGTACCTGCCCGGGGTCTGCCCCGTGACCTCCTGCCAGCGGGCGTTCGGCACTTCACGTGGCCTTAAAGTGCACCTAGCCTGGCACAAGCGCCGTGGTGACGTCACTGCCACTTAGTGGCGAATGGCTGTTGTTGTTGGTGTGCTTGTGTCTATGTGGATAGGTGTGTGTGTGGTCGAGCGTGACCACTGAGAGATGGGGCCTTCCCATCAGCCCCACCAAAACTAAGCACCTGCCTGGGTATTTTGTACCATCGGACACTCCACCCCCACAACTCCCAATCGGTGATGGGGCAGTTGTGGAGAGAGTGGAGAGTTTCCCATACCTGGGCAGTGTGCTCATGACTGGCTCCGGTTTAACAGCAGAGGTCTCACTCCGAATCAGTCGAGCGGCAATATCTTTTCATCGGTTGCGTAACGCTGTGTGGAAGCTACCTGGTCTGTCGTTCCGCACTAAGCTTCAGGTCTTCTCGGCCACGGTCATTCCCTCCCTTCTCTACGCTTGCGAAACGTGGACACCCCCCCCCCCCCCCCTAATGGAACATCTTCGCCGGTTAGAAACATTTAGGCTAGCCTGCCTACGATCCATCCTGGGTTTAACCAGGCTGGATTGTGTGAGGAGCTCACAAATCCATTAAAGATGTGGACAAAGTCCCATCGGCGAGCTCCTCCGGCAGGCAAGGCTGCGTTGGCTGGGCCACGGAGCCCGCATGCCCAGCCATCGCCACGTGTTATTTACGCGACGGAACCTTTTGAATTGGGCTGTGTCGAGCGGCGGCGGGTTTAACCACACGTTTATATTTACGAGATCTAAACCCCCCCAAAAAAACCCCGTCGATGATGAAACCATTGTTGGGTTTGACAGGAGCCCGATGATGATGATGGGTGGTGTTTTCACTCTGTGTATTGTGTCGGAGGAGGCCCAACGTCAGCGGCCAGCGCTAAAGGCCACCCCGGGAGGGCCCAGCGGGGCCTTGCAATGCGAGACGGATCGCCGGGGTTGTAAGAAAGACAATCCGACCGACAATGTACGCAACATTTTTATATGCAAAAAAAAGGAATGACCCAGACGCACACCCGAACGCAACTCTCACTGCACAGTCGTGCGCAGAGACGGAGAGAGGCAACGGGAAACAAAACATCAACAGCGAATCATCATCACCATCTCAAGTCTACAAACCGCACGGTAATAATCATCATCATAATAAAAAATGCACAAAGACGAGAATCGATTCCCCGGAATCGTGTCAACTCTCAGTGTCGCCGGAATCGATTAATTCACCAAGTGTCCCGATAAAAACAGAGTTAGAGGTGCAGCCCTGAAAGCGCTTCGCTCACGCCACTGCTGGTCGGAAGGTCGCCCACGAGCGTTCAGCTCTGCGAGGGAAGCCTCAACCGGGGGGGGGGGGGGGGTATTCGGCCTACTCTTCCACGCCGGTCAGTACGTCTTGAAAGAGGTGGCAGTGCCCGCAGTGTACCCCCCACCGCCACACGTGACCTGTCAATACACTGGCAGTGGGGCACCCATTTCTACTGCTGGCTTGACAGAGGAGGTGGGTGAGTGATTGGATGAGTGGGTGGATGAGTACGTGGGTGGATGGATGAGTGGGTGAGTGAGTGGGTGGATGGATGTGTGGGTGAGTGGGTGGATGGGTGAGTGAGTGGATGAGTGGGTGGGCGGATGAGTGGGTGAGTGGATGAGTGGGTGGATGAGTACGTGGATGAGCGAGTGGGTAGGCGAGTGAGTGGGTGGATGGATGAGTGGGTGAGTGAGTGAGTGGGTTGGATGAATGAGTGGGTGGATGAGTGAGTATGGGTGAGTGGGTGAGTAGGTAGGTGGATGAGTGAGTGGGTGGATGAGTGGCTGGGTGGATGAGTGAGTGAGTGGGTGAATGAGTGGGTGGGAAGGTGAATGAGTGAATGAGTGGGTGGATGAGTGGGTGAATGGATGGATGAGTGGGTGGGTGGATGAGTGAGTGGGTGGATGGATGAGTGAGTGTGTGGATGAGCGAGTGGGTGAGTGGATGAGCGAGTGGGTGAGTATTTACGAAACTCGCACCATTGTTTCAACTGCCGCACCGGGAGATCGAATGGAACCGGACTAAACCCATGAAGTTCACGGCAGCAGCAGAAACGTGCGATCAAAGTTAGACACCAACGGTGTTGTACAGTACCATGATAGTGCACCTTTAAACACGCGTTTCCGTCACCCAGAATCGACTTAAAAACTGCACCACGTGCGTAGAATCTTGAACAACGGAATAAATACGTCTTGCATTCGAAGCAACTTTATCATTTTTTGAGTTTAACACGTAGGCTTTGGCGACCAATATCATCCGCGACAGGGGGGGGGTTTAATATTTACGCGATCGGACCCCCGAAAAAAAACCTCTCTTCAGAATGTATCCTTGGAATTCCCATTTCATGTCCGCCGATTCTCTCATGTCCACAGCCAGGTGCTGGCGCTTGTTCCTGGCTGCTCCTGAAAGTCGCGAAGGCAGCGGCGAAGGCAGTTCCACCATTCATCCATTCGTCACATCGCCATGAGCAGCGGCTGGAGCCTTGGTCAATCCACCGCTGGATGAAGGACATCCTCCACCAAAGAGTTCCTCTCGCGATGCTGCGATGCAAAACGCGCGCCGCCCGTGGCACTCCCAGTGGGTCCCTCTTCACCGCTCCGCATGCGCTTCGGACGCGCTCCCACGGACGCGCTCCCACGGACGCGCTCCGCACCGCTTCCATTTCAACCACAGACGCCGTGGTGATCCTTGTGTTTTTGGCCGTGGTGGTCTTTGTTTTTTGTCCGTGGTGGTCCTTGTTTTTTGTCCGTGGAGCGTTTGGGGGCGGGCGGGCGGGCGGGCGGGCAAGCGCGTGCCATCCACGTTGGTGACAATTCCGCATTCCTTTGGCGGGGGTTAAGTCCCGTAAAAAAATTAAGTACAAAGTTTAAAAAAAAAATACACCCGTTGAATTCGCGCACATTGGTTCGTATTTTAAGGGACACGAACAACGGAGGATGATGGGCTGAGTCACCCCCCCCCCTCCCCCCCCGCCGCCCCCTCCCTCCACACCCCCCCCCCCCACCCAACGAGGATTCGACCTTACGACCTTTGCAGGCGTTGATAATTAGACTCCAGCACCCCGCCACGTGGTCAACTGCCATTGTGATCGTCGTCATCATCGTCGTCATCATCGTCGTCATCATCGTCGTCTGTCATTCCACCTCTAATGCAATGTGCAGCCCAGCCCTCTGTCAATTCACTGCTGGATGAAGGACCTCCCCCCCCCCTCCTCCGACACCTTTCAGTAATGGGGATGGGGGGGGGTTGCTTGACCATACTTCACCACGCCGGTCAACGTGGGCCGGGGTCGGTGGGCGGGGGGGGGGGGCACGCGGGGGTGTGTACCAGACATCGCTCGCCATCGACGTTGGGCACGATGCGCCAACCGCTGTGCCACCGCTCCTCCCTCTCCCCTCACCATCGACACGGGAAGAGCGCCTGGTGTCTACAGGGTGGGTCCCCAGTTGACCCGGACCCCTAGCATGTGTGTTGTTCCTTGGCATATAAATAAAGCTAACTAGAAAAAAAGAGGACCTTTTATAGAATTCGATCGGCGGGGAGGTGGTCACGAGACATCTGGACCACCCCTACACATCGACACCGCCCCCCCCCCCCCCCCCCACCGCTTCTCACCTCCACCCCCCCCCCCTCCACCGCCAAGACACTTCCAGGAGTTGAACCCCCACCGCCTCCCACCCCCGGGGCGAGCGAGAGCAGGCGGAGGTTGCTGGACCCGCGGGACGAGGTGGCGAGGGGCTTCAGTGGAGGTGGCGAGGGGCTTCAGTGGAGGTGGCGAGGGGTGTCAGTGGAGGTGGCGAGGGGCTTCAGTGGAGGTGGCGAGGGGCGTCAGTGGAGGTGGCGAGGGGCTTCAGTCGAGGTGGCGAGGGGCTTCAGTGGAGGTGGCGAGGGGCTTCAGTGGAGGTGGCGAGGGGTGTCAGTGGAGGTGGCGAGGGGCTTCAGTGGAGGTGGCGAGGGGCTTCAGTGGAGGTGGCGAGGGGCTTCAGTGGAGGTGGCGAGGGGCTTCAGTGGAGGTGGCGAGGGGCGTCAGTGGAGGTGGTGAGGGGCGTCAGTGGAGGTGGTGAGGGGCTTCAGTCGAGGTGGCGAGGGGCGTCAGTGGAGGTGGCGAGGGGCGTCAGTGGAGGTGGCGAGGGGCTTCAGTGGAGGTGGCGAGGGGCTTCAGTGGAGGTGGCGAGGGGCGTCAGTGGAGGTGGCGAGGGGCTTCAGTCGAGGTGGCGAGGGGCTTCAGTCGCCCTCGGGGCAGCCGTGGGCCAGCAGAACGTCGACACACAGGTGGCTACGGGCGTCGCGGGCACGCGCCAACGCGGTGCCACCCAAATCATCGCGCTGGCGGACGTCAGCGCCGTACTGTGGGGGGGGGGGGGGGGGGGGGGGGGGGGGGGGGGGGGGGGGGGGGGGGGGGGGTGGGGTGAATTAAAATGAATTAAAACGTTAGATTATTATTTGAATTGTGACCGGGTGAAAGTCCAACTACAGCTGCTGTGTAGCTCTTTTTGTCGTGGGTTTCAGAAGCGACGTGGCCATCGCTGAACAATCGCAGCTCAGCGAGGTGGCTGACGTCGTCGTTGTCGTCGTCGTCGTCATCGTCATCGTCGTCATCATCGTCGTGTGGGAATGTTTATAGCAGCCAAACTGGAAGACGTGCGATGTTGATTCTCAACGCGGACGGGGAAAAAACCAGAGGACCCGGAGAAACCATCCCAAAATATACAGCAGCAGCAGCAGGCGTGAGGGTCGGGATCGAACCCACGACCTCCTGCACACCAGGCGAGGTAGTTAACATCTCCTCGCCACCGTGGTTGGAGGGGGTACACGCGGTGAGGTCGATGGCCCGGCACACGAGGTCCTCACATGAGGTCCTCAACCCCCCCCCCCCCCCCCCCATATAGCCTGAGCAGTTTAGTTTGTGTGTGGGTGTTTAGTTCGTGCCCTCACTCCACACCTCCGATTAGCACGGTAGGCTATGTATGGTGGTGAACAAGAAGTTCAGTATACATGTATACAGATGAACAACAGTCTGTTGTACATCAGTATACATGTATACAGACATACAACAAACTGTTGGGGCAAGCACTGTTAGTGAGCAGCACCTATGAAGGCCGGCACAGCACACGAGGGGGTGGGTGGCCAGCACCACGCCCGGCTGCCTTTGTCTCCCCAGTGCCGATGCTTACACACCACACCAGGCACTCATTTGAGGCCGAGTCGACCTAGGGGATGCCCAATCGTCGCACGCAGGCGCGAGGTTCCCTCACCCAGATGAGGAGCTGCGTCGTGACGACGTCCCCGTTCGCGCAGGCGAGGTGAAGGATGGGCTGCTCCCCACCAGGCCCGTCACGTGACCCCCCTGCGCACGCCTCGTTCACCTGGCACGCGCACGCGGTTCATCATGGCCGCGTCGGGGAGGGTACGGAGCAGGGCACCACCGAGAGCTCGCTGGTTAAGGCTCGAACCCTGGGACTGGACGTCGCTCAGGTTCGGAATGGCCACGTCAGAGATGGCGGGTCGGCTTGTGAGTGACCTCACACGCGATTGAGTGAGCGAGTGATCGAGTGACCTCACACGCGAGTGATCGAGTGAGTGAGTGATCTAGTGATCTCACACGCGAGTGATCTAGTGATCTCACACGTGAGTGATCTAGTGACCTCACACGCGAGTGATCGAGTGATCTCACACGCGAGTGATCTAGTGATCTAACGCGCGAGTGATCTAGTGATCTCGTGAGCGAGTGATCGAGTGATCTCACACGCGAGTGATCGAGTGATCTCACGCGAGTGATCGAGTGATCTCACACGCGAGTGATCGAGTGTACTCACACGCGAGTGATCTAGTGATCTCACACGCGAGTGATCTAGTGATCTCACATGCGAGTGATCTAGTGATCTCACACGCGAGTGATCTAGTGATCTCACACGCGAGTGATCTAGTGATCTCACACGCGAGTGATCTAGTGATCTCACACGCGAGTTATTTAGTGATCTCACACACGAGTGATCGAGTGACCTCGTGAGCGAGTGATCTAGTGATCTCACACGCGAGTGATCTAGTGATCTCACACGCGAGTGATCTAGTGATCTCACACGCGAGTGATCTAGTGATCTCACACGCGAGTGATCTAGTGATCTCACACGCGAGTGATCTAGTGATCTCACACGCGAGTTATTTAGTGATCTCACACACGAGTGATCGAGTGACCTTGTGAGCGAGTGATCTAGTGATCTCACACGCGAGTGATCTAGTGATCTCACACGCGAGTGATCTAGTGATCTCACACGCGAGTGATCGTGTGACCTCATGATCTAGTGATCTCACACGCGAGCAGGCGAGCGAGCGACCTATTGAGTCAGCGAGTGAAAAGTTGGGCAAGCGAGCTGGCGGGCGGGTTGGCACCTGCTCGCGCTCGCTGTGAGCCAGCAGCAGCGCCACGGAGCGCACGTCACCGGCGGCGACGGCGCTGGCGAGGCGCGGGCCGAACGCCGCGCCGGGCGACGACGACGACGACGGAGGAGGAGGCAGCGGTGCCAGGAAGAGGCGCTCGCGATACTTGTCCCAGATCCAGCGCTCGCGCTCCTCCCTGTGCGGGTCGGGGGGGGGCGTCACGGGGTGCCATGGGGTGCCACGAGGTGCCACGGGGTGCCACGGGGTGCCACGGGGTCACGGGGTCGCACACCGAGCATCGCGATTGTCCACCCCCTCCCACGTGCCGCCCAAGCGGTGCTCGTTAAGCGACTCGCTAAAACGTCCCGACGCAGCGAGACCCCCTTCTTGAGACTCGGCTCTTTCTAGGGAAGACAAAGGCGACCGGGCCTGGTATTGCCCACCACACCCCCGCAGCGTTCATTAGGATCTCGCTGACAGGAGGGAGGAGGAGGAGGAGGAGGAGGAGGAGGAGGAGGAGGAGGAGGAGGAGGAGAGAGGGAGAAGGCAGGCGGAGGGGCGGTAAAGCAGAACAAAACAAAATCTCCGTCGTTGAGCGCCTCCCCCGGCTCACCTGCTGGAGTTGGCACACGGCTTCCTTCGGTGTCCCCTCCCTCCCTCGCCGCGTCCGGCGGCGACGGCGGCCGTGTCGGCGGCCTTCGCGCCGCTCGGCCTCGTCGCCCCGGTCGTGGCGTTCCCACCGGCGTCGGCGTTCGCCGCGTAGGTCGCCGCGTGCGCGTCCCCGGCGGTTGCTGTTGTTGTTGTTGCTGTCGCGGCGGCGTCGAGGGCGCCCTCCCACACGCTGTTGGCGAGGCGGTTGCCCATGGCGGTGAGCACCGCGGCCAGCTCGGGCGGCCAGTAGTCCAGCTGGAGGGAGCGCACGCGCGACAGGTGGGCCCCCAGCGCGCGGTGCACCCCGCAGCACGAGATGCACATGAGGGCGCCCAGGTTGAGGCTCGCCCAGCTCGGGTCTACACACACGCGCACGCACGGGTAAATACACACACACGGGTACACACACACACACATACACACGGCTATACACACATCCACACGGGTAAACACACGGGTACACACACACGTACGGGTACACACACAAACACGGGTACACACACACACACGGGTACACACACACAAAGACAAAGACCCCCCTGTATAGCCTGTAATAGACTGTTGGGGCAAGTGCTATGAGCAAGCACCTATGAAAGCCAGAACGGCACACGAAGGAGCGGGTGGCCAACACCACGCCCGGCCGCCTTTGTCTCCCCAGTGGCCATGTTTACTACACACCGCACCGGGTACTCATTTGAGGCTGAGTCGACCTAGGGGAGAGGCCCAGGACCGGTTCAGATAATCGTCACCAGTGTTGGCCATGAGCGGGAATCGAACTCGGGCCGCCGGGTTCGTAGTGCAGCGTAGCGCTACCCGCTACACTACCGCACAGGTGCATACACACAGAGGTATACACACACCACACAAGTACATACATACATACACACAGGTACATACATACACACAGGTACATACATACACACAGGTACATACATACATACACACACAGGTACATACATACACACACAGGTACATACATACACACACAGGTACATACATACACACACAGGTACATACATACACACACAGGTACATACATACACACACAGGTACATACATACACACACAGGTACATACATACACACACAGGTACATACATACACACACAGGTACATACATACACACACAAGTACATACATACACACACAGGTACATACATACACAAAAGATCCCCCGTATAGCCTTAACAGACTGTAGGGGCAAGTGCTGTTAGCGAGCACCTATGAAGGCCGGATCGATACACGAGGGGGTGGGTGGCCAGCACCACGCCCGACCGCCTTTGTCTCCCTAGTGGCAATGTTTACACACGGCACCAGGTACTCATTTGAGGCTGAGTCGACCTAGAGGAGGACCGGGACCGGTTCAGATAATCGTCACTGGTGTTGGCCGTGATCGGGAATCGAACCCGAGTCGCCAGGTTCATAGCGCAGCGCGCTAACCGCTACACATACACACACAGGTACATACATACACACACAGGTACATACACACACCACACAAGTACATACATACACACACAGGTACATACATACACACACAGGTACATACATACACACAGACATAAGATGATGACGACGACGACGACAATCACTGACAATGACGGTGATGATCATCATGATGATGACGATGATCAAGATGATGACGGCGGTGACGACGGTGGTGGTGATGGTGGTGGTGGTGGTGACGGTGGTGGTGATGACGGTGGTGGCAACGACTGTGGTTATGACGGTGGTGGCGACGTCGGTGGTGACGACTGTGGTGGTGGTGGCGACGACTGTGGTGGTGGTGACGGTGGTGGTGACGACTGTGGTGGTGGTGGTGACGACTGTGGTGGTGGTGGTGACGACTGTGGTGGTGGTGGTGGTGACGATTGTGGTGGTGACGACTGTGGTGGTGGTGGTGACGACTGTGGTGGTGGTGACGACTGTGGTGGTGGTGGTGATGACTGTGGTGGTGGTGGTGACGACTGTGGTGGTGGTGACGACTGTGGTGGTGGTGGTGACGACTGTGGTGGTGGTGGTGACGACTGTGGTGGTGGTGGTGGTGGTGACGGTGGTGGTGACGGTGGTGGTGACGACTGTGGTGGTGGTGACGACTGTGGTGGTGGTGGTGGTGGTGACGACTGTGGTGGTGGTGGTGACGACTGTGGTGGTGGTGGTGACGACTGTGGTGGTGGTGACGACTGTGGTGGTGACGACTGTGGTGGTGGTGGTGACGACTGTGGTGGTGGTGGTGACGACTGTGGTGGTGGTGACGACTGTGGTGGTGGTGGTGACGACTGTGGTGGTGGTGGTGGTGACGACTGTGGTGGTGGTGACGACGGTGGTGACGACTGTGGTGGTGGTGACGACTGTGGTGGTGGTGACGACTGTGGTGGTGACGACTGTGGTGGTGACGACTGTGGTGGTGACGACTGTGGTGGTGGTGACGACTGTGGTGGTGGTGACGACTGTGGTGGTGACGACTGTGGTGGTGACGACTGTGGTGGTGGTGATTGTGGTGGTGGTGGTGACTGTGGTGGTGGTGACTGTGGTGGTGGTGACTGTGGTGGTGGTGACGGTGGTGGTGGTGACGTCTGTGGTGGTGGTGGTGGTGGTGACGTCTGTGGTGATGGTGGTGGTGGTGACGTCTGTGGTGGTGGTGGTGACGACTGTGGTGGTGGTGGTGGTGATGACTGTGGTGGTGGTGACTGTGGTGGTGGTGACGACTGTGGTGGTGATGACTGTGGTGGTGGTGACGACTGTGGTGGTGGTGACGACTGTGGTGGTGGTGACGGCTGTGGTGGTGGTGGTGACGACTGTGGTGGTGGTGGTGGTGACGACTGTGGTGGTGGTGGTGACTGTGGTGGTGGTGACTGTGGTGGTGGTGACTGTGGTGGTGGTGACTGTGGTGGTGGTGACTGTGGTGGTGGTGACTGTGGTGGTGACTGTGGTGGTGGTGACTGTGGTGGTGGTGACTGTGGTGGTGACTGTGGTGGTGACTGTGGTGGTGACTGTGGTGGTGACTGTGGTGGTGGTGGTGACTGTGGTGGTGGTGACTGTGGTGGTGACTGTGGTGGTGGTGGTGACTGTGGTGGTGACTGTGGTGGTGACTGTGGTGGTGACTGTGGTGGTGACTGTGGTGACTGTGGTGGTGACTGTGGTGACTGTGGTGGTGACTGTGGTGGTGGTGACTGTGGTGGTGGTGACTGTGGTGGTGGTGACTGTGGTGGTGGTGACTGTGGTGGTGGTGACTGTGGTGGTGACTGTGGTGGTGACTGTGGTGGTGACTGTGGTGGTGACTGTGGTGGTGGTGACTGTGGTGGTGGTGACTGTGGTGGTGACTGTGGTGGTGGTGGTGACTGTGGTGGTGACTGTGGTGGTGACTGTGGTGGTGACTGTGGTGGTGACTGTGGTGGTGACTGTGGTGACTGTGGTGGTGGTGGTGGTGACTGTGGTGGTGACTGTGGTGGTGGTGGTGACTGTGGTGGTGACTGTGGTGGTGACTGTGGTGGTGACTGTGGTGGTGGTGGTGACTGTGGTGGTGACTGTGGTGGTGACTGTGGTGGTGACTGTGGTGGTGACTGTGGTGGTGACTGTGGTGGTGGTGGTGGTGACGTCATACTGGGAAGGCCACAGTCCACGCAGCTCTCGTTGCCCGGCACGCTGCGGATCTCCTCGATCGTCCGCTGCCGTCGCTGCAGCTCCTGGGGCGACTGGGGTCACGCGCACCGGGTCACAAGGTCACGTGTACCAGGTCACAAGGTCACGAGCACGAGGTCACGAAGTCACAAGGTCACGTGCACCAGGTCACAAGGTCACGGGCACGAGGTCACAAGGTCACGCACACCGGGTCACAAGGTCACGTGCACCAGGTCACAAGGTCACGAGCACGAGGTCACGAGGTCACAAGATCACGCGCACGGGGTCACACGGTCATGTGGTCACAAGGTCGCGCGCATGGGGTCACAAGGTCACGTGCACGGGGTCACAAGGTCGCGCGCACCGGGTCACAAGGTCACGCGCACAGGGTCACATGCACGTGGTCACAAGGTCATACGCACATGCCACGGCGATGGTCTTGTTCCGCGACGATGCTGCTTAGTGTGATGGTGAAGCACGGCAGGGTTTCGTCACCGTTCGTTATCGTCATGACGGCTGCCATCTCCCCTCATCACGCCACGCGTCGTACCAGCAGCGTCACCATCATCAACCACCCTCCTCCTCTTCATCATCATCAAACTCCCTAACCCGTCATCATCCCCCCCCCCCCACCCCCCACCCCCCACCCCCCCCCACCCCCCACCCCACCCCCCACCCACCGGTGCGGAGCGCGTGTCCCCTCCCCCGCCGCTGCTGTAGGACTGGAGGCTGGCGAAGATCCTCCCCTCGATGGCGGCCACCCAGGCGCCGCGCTCCTCGCCGCTCGCCGCCTCGAAGTGCCAACTCTCGCCGGTCAGGGACACCACGGTGAAGTCGCACGGCGGCGGCGGCGACGGCGACGACTCCTCTCCGTCTGGGGTCACGCCAGGGGTCACGCCAAGGGGTCACGCCAGGAGGTCACGCCAAGAGTCACGCCAGGGGTCACGCCAGGGGTCACGCCAGGGGGTCACACCAAGGGGTCACGCCAAGGGGTCACGCCAAGGGGTCATGCCAAGGGGTCACGCCAAGGGGTCACGCCAAGGGGTCACGCCAGGGGTCACGCCAGGGGGTCACGCCAAGGGGTCACGCCAAGGGGTCACACCAGCGTCACACGAGGATGGTCACACGAGGATGGTCACGGAGGACACACACTGGGGGTTACGGGGTCACGTCGAGGGTGACCGGGTTGAGTTGGGGAAGGGGACGAGAGGGGTTACGGGCGTCATGGGGTCAAGATTGGGGTTACAGGGTGTCAAGAGGGGTCATGGCAGGTCTTGAGTAATCAGGGGGTGGGGTGGGTCGCAGGGGGGTCGCGTTGGGGGTCTCGTAGGGGGTCGCGTAGGGGGTCGCGTTGGGGGTCGCGTAGGGGGTCGCGTAGGGGGTCGCGTTGGGGGTCGCGTTGGGGGTCTCGTTAGGGGTCTCGTTAGGGGTCTCGTAGGGGGTCGCGTTGGGGGTCGCGTTGGGGGTCGCGTTGGGGGTCGCGTTGGGGGTCGCGTTGGGGGTCGCGTTGGGGGTCGCGTAGGGGGTCGCGTAGGGGGTCGCGTAGGGGGTCGCGTAGGGGGTCGCGTAGGGGGTCGCGTAGGGGGTCTCACGGCGTCTGTGTCTCCGCCGTGTGGTGACGGGCGACGCCGAGGGGTCCTGCTTGAGGCTGCCGCCGGACAGGCTGGGGCTGGACCCCACCGTGTCGTCTGACGCACTGCCTGCTCCACACACACACACACACAGACAATCGACAAGGAAGAACAACCGTGCACACGCGTGGATCCCGCAACGCTCCGTCGCCCCGGCGTGGCCGAGCCGACCAATGGGCACGCCCGCGCCGCGTACCGGCTCTGCCGGAGCGGCCGTGGCCGTCGCTCCCCGGCACCGCCGGCTCGGGGCTCGCCGCGGAGATCGCCGTGGGCTGCAGGGGGACGGCAGCGTCGGGAGACGTGCCTGGAGGGGGGAGGAGGGGGGGGAGGTCATGTGGGAGGGGTCAGAAGGTCAAGAGGCGAGATCCAGAGGGGTGGGTGGGTGGGGGTGCGCTCTCGTCAGAGGCGCTTCGCCGATTCGTCGTGAGCAGGGCCTGCGATTCCACCCCCTACCCTCCCTCATCCTCCTCCTGCCATCCATTCATCCCCTCTTCTTCCTCATCCCCTTCTCATCTTCCTCCCCTCATCCCTTCTTCCTCCTACCTCTCTCCCCCCTCCTTATCATTCTCCCCTATCCTCATTCCTCCATCCTTCCTCTTCCTCAATCCTTCCTCCTCCTCCATCCTTCCTTCATTCTCCTCCATCCTCCATCCTTCCTTCATCCTCCTCCATCCTTCATCCTCCTCCGCCCCACTGCCATTCCTCCTCATCCTATTCTCCTCCCTCCCCCCCCCCACCCTCTGCCCCACTCCACCCCCTCCGCCCCGTCCTCACCGTTGACTGTTGCGTTGTGCGCTGTGGCCCCGCTCTCGTCCCCGGCGAGGTGGCTGCCTCTGGGGCTGGGGGCCGGGGGGCCGTGGGGGGCCGCGGGGGCCGAGGAGGAGGAGGTGGCCCGGGGGGGTCGGGCCCCCGGCACCTTCACGGTGGTTCCCAGCAGCGCCACCTCCTTGCCGTGGATGTTCTGCATGTAGTCCTGGGGATGGGGGAGGGGGGTGGAGAGGGGGGGGTGGTGTTCCGTGATCAATCCACTGCTGGATGATGATCCTTGCCAAGTCCCCGTCGTGCATCGCGGTCCGGCGATGCGACAGTCCACAGCGAGGATGGTCACAGAAACCAGCGGCCTAGTAGAGGCGGGAGTGGCATGGTACCTGGGGACCCTGGGGACCTGGGCCCTGGGGCCCGTGGGGGACCCTGGACCCTGGGGACTTAGATGAAGAGGAAGTGGAGGAGGAGGGGGTGGAAGGGGAGGATGACGAGGAGGTGCAAGAGGATGAGGGGTGTAAGATGATGAAGAGGATGATGAGGATGACGAGGAGATGCAGGAGGAGTTGGGGGTAGAAGGTTAGGACGATCAGGAGGTGGAGGAGCTGGAGGTGGAGGAGCTGCAGGGGGAGGAGGGTTGTAGGATGATGATGATGATGAAGAGGAGATGTAGGAGGAGGTGGAAGGGGAGGATGGCGAGGACGTGGACGAGGAGGTGGATGAGGAGGTGGATGAGGAGGTGGACGAGGAGGGAGTCTCACGTGCAGGCTGGGGTAGTAGGTGAGCAGGCCCTCCTCGCACAGAGTCACGTACTTCTTCTTCCACTCCTTGTTCAGGGTGCCGCCCCACTTCAGCAGGATGCCCTGTGGGGGGTGGGGGGTCACGGGGTCAACAGACTGAGCATGGCGATCGTCCACCCGTACCCACGTGATGCCCGAGCAGAGCTCGTCAAACGAATCGGCGCAGCGCCCCGGCGTCGTGGCGAGGCCCTCCTGTCAAGGAGTCTTGAGACTCGGTGGAGGAGATTTTTTTTTGGGGGTGGGGGGGAGACAAAGGCGGCCGGGCGTGGCGTTGGCTGGGGGCGGAGTTCGAGGCTCGAGCTCGAACCCACGGGAGACGCCCCCCCCCCCCCGGTGGTCACCCGCAGGCCTCAAGCCCCCGAACCCCACAAGCTCAGCAGGTCCCAACCTGCTTGATGGGGATGGCGCGGCCGCTGCCGATGCAGTCCCCCTCGGCCGCCGCCCGTCGCTCCTTCTCCACGTCGCTGTTCCTCTGTGCAACGCCACGGGGGAGGGGGGCGGGGGTGTTAGAACGGTGCGGTGTTTCAATGCGGTGGAGTTAGAACGGTGCGGTGTTACAATGGGGTGGAGTTAGAACGGTGTTACAATGGGGGGGGTGTTAGAACGGTGTCACAATGGGGTGGAGTTAGAATGGTGCGGTGTTGCAATGGGTTGGAGTTAGAACGGTACGGTGTTACAATGGGGTGGAGTTAGAACGGTGTTACAATGGGGGGGGGTGTTAGAACGGTGTTGCAATGGGTTGGAGTTAGAACGGTACGGTGTTACAATGGGGTGGAGTTAGAACGGTGCGGTGTTACAATGGGGGGGGGGTATTAGAACGGTGTTGCAATGGGTTGGAGTTAGAACGGTGTTACAATGTGTTGGAGTTAGAACGGTACGGTGTTACAATACGGTGGAGTTAGAACGGTGCGGTGTTACAATGGGGTGGAGTTAGAACGGTGCAGTGTTACAATGGGGTGGAGTTAGAACGGTGCGGTGTTACAATGCGGTGGAGTTATAACGGTGCGGTGTTACAATGCGGTGGAGTTAGAACGGTGCGGTGTCACAATGCGGTGGAGTTAGAACGGTGCGGTGTTACAATGGAGTGGCGTTAGAACGGTGCGGTGTTGCAATGCGGTGGAGTTAGAACGGTGCGGTGTTGCTATGGGGTAGAGTAAAAACGGTGTTACATTGGGGTGGAGTTAGAACGGTGCGGTGTTACAATGGGGTGGAGTTAGAACGGTGTTACATTGGGGTGGAGTTAGAACGGTGTTACATTGGGGTGGAGTTAGAACGGTGCAGTGTCACAATGGGGTGGAGTTAGAACGGTGCGGTGTTAGAATACGGTGGAGTTAAAACGGTGTTACAATGGGGTGGAGTTAGAACGGTGTTACAATGGGGTGGAGTTAGAACTTTGTCACAATGGGGTGGAGTTAGAACGGTGTTATAATACGGTGGAGTTAGAACGGTGTTACAATGGGATGGAGTTAGAACGGTGTTACAATGGGGTGGAGTTAGAACGGTGTTACAATGGGGTGGAGTTAGAGCGGTGTTACAATGGGGTGGAGTTAGAATGGTGTTACAATGGGGTGGAGTTAGAACGGTGTTACAATGGGGTGGAGTTAGAATGGTGTTACAATGGGGTGGAGTTAGAACGGTGTTACAATGGGGTGGAGTTAGAGCGGTGTTACAATGGGGTGGAGTTAGAACGGTGTTACAATGGGGTGGAGTTAGAGCAGTGTTACAATGGGGTGGAGTTAGAACGGTGTTACAATGGGGTGGAGTTAGAACGGTGTTACAATGGGGTGGAGTTAGAACGGTGTTACAATGGGGTGGAGTTAGAACGGTGTTACAATGTGGTGGAGTTAGAACGGTGTTACAATACGGTGGAGTTAGAACGGTGTCACAATACGGTGGAGTTAGAACGGCGTTACAATGGGGTGGAGTTAGAACGGTGTTACAATGGGGTGGAGTTAGAACGGTGTTACAATACGGTGGAGTTAGAATGGTGTTACAATGGGGTGGAGTTAGAACGGTGTTACAATGGGGTGGAGTTAGAACGGTGTTACAATGGGGTGGAGTTAGAACGGTGTTACAATGTGGTGGAGTTAGAACGGTGTTACAATGTGGTGGAGTTAGAACGGTGTTACAATACGGTGGAGTTAGAACGGTGTCACAATACGGTGGAGTTAGAACGGCGTTACAATGGGGTGGAGTTAGAACGGTGTTACAATGGGGTGGAGTTAGAACGGTGTTACAATGGGGTGGAGTTAGAACGGTGTCACAATGGGGTGGAGTTAGAACGGTGTTACAATGGGGTGGAGTTAGAACGGTGTCACAATGGGGTGGAGTTAGAACGGTGTTACAATGGGGTGGAGTTAGAACGGTGTCACAATGGGGTTGGAGTTAGAACGGTGTTACAATGGGGTGGAGTTAGAACGGTGTCACAATGGGGTGGAGTTAGAACGGTGTTACAATGGGGTGGAGTTAGAACGGTGTTACAATGGGGTGGAGTTAGAACGGTGTTACAATGGGGTGGAGTTAGAACGGTGTTACAATGGGGTGGAGTTAGAACGGTGTTACAATGGGGTGGAGTTAGAACGGTGTTACAATGGGGTGGAGTTAGAATGGTGTTACAATGGGGTGGAGTTAGAACGGTGTTACAATGGGGTGGAGTTAGAGCGGTGTTACAATGGGGTGGAGTTAGAACGGTGTTACAATGGGGTGGAGTTAGAGCAGTGTTACAATGGGGTGGAGTTAGAACGGTGTTACAATGGGGTGGAGTTAGAACGGTGTTACAATGGGGTGGAGTTAGAACGGTGTTACAATGGGGTGGAGTTAGAACGGTGTTACAATGTGGTGGAGTTAGAACGGTGTTACAATACGGTGGAGTTAGAACGGTGTCACAATACGGTGGAGTTAAGAACGGCGTTACAATGGGGTGGAGTTAGAACGGTGTTACAATGGGGTGGAGTTAGAACGGTGTTACAATACGGTGGAGTTAGAATGGTGTTTACAATGGGGTGGAGTTAGAACGGTGTTACAATGGGGTGGGAGTTAGAACGGTGTTACAATGGGGTGGAGTTAGAACGGGTGTTACAATGTGGTGGAGTTAGAACGGTGTTACAATGTGGTGGAGTTAGAACGGTGTTACAATACGGTGGAGTTAGAACGGTGTCACAATACGGTGGAGTTAGAACGGCGTTACAATGGGTGGAGTTAGAACGGTGTTACAATGGGGTGGAGTTTAAAACGGTGTTACAATGGGGTGAGTTAGAACGGTGTTACAATGGGGGTGGAGTTAGAACGGTGTTACAATGGGGTGGAGTTAGAACGGTGTCACAATGGGGTGGAGTTAGAAACGGTGTTACAATGGGGTGGAGTTAGAAACGGTGTCACAATGGGGTGGAGTTAGAACGGTGTTACAATGGGGTGGAGTTAGAACGGTTGTTCACAATGGGGTGGAGTTAGAACGGTGTTACAATGGGGTGGAGTTAGAACGGTGTTACAATGGGGTGGAGTTAGAACGGTGTTACAATGGGGTGGAGTTAGAACGGTGTTACAATGGGGTGGAGTTAGAACGGTGTTACAATGGGTGGAGTTAGAACGGTGTTACAATGGGGTGAGTTAGAACGGTGTTAACAATGGGGTGGAGTTAGAACGGTGTTACAAATGGGGTGGAGTTAGAACGGTGTTACAATGGGGTGGAGTTAGAACGGTGTTACAATGGGGTGGAGTTAGAACGGTGTTACAATGGGGTGGAGTTAGAACGGTGTTACAATGGGTGGAGTTAGAAACGGTGTTACAATGGGGTGGAGTTAGAACGGTGTTACAATGGGGTGGAGTTAGAACGGTGTTACAATGGGGTGGAGTTAGAACGGTGTTACAATGGGTGGAGTTAGAACGGTGTTACAATGGGGTGGAGTTAGAACGGTGTTACAATGGGGTGGAGTTAGAACGGTGTTACAATGGGGTGGAGTTAGAACGGTGTTACAATGGGGTGGAGTTAGAACGGTGTTACAATGGGGTGGAGTTAGAACGGTGTTACAATGGGGTGGAGTTAGAACGGTGTACAATGGGGTGGAGTTAGAACGGTGTTACAATGGGGTGGAGTTAGAACGGTGTTACAATGGGGTGGAGTTAGAACGGTGTTACAATGGGGTGGAGTTAGAACGGTGTTACAATGGGGTGGAGTTAGAACGGTGTTACAATGGGGTGGAGTTAGAACGGGGTTACAATGGGGTGGAGTTAGAACGGTGTTAAATGGGGTGGAGTTAGAACGGTGTTACAATGGGTGGATTTAGAACGGGGGTTGGAGTTAGAACGGTGTCACAATGGGGGTGGAGTTAGAACTGGTGTTACAATACGGGTGGAGTTAGAACGGTGTTACAATGGGGTGGAGTTAGAACGGTGTTACAATGGGGTGGAGTTAGAACGGTGTCACAATGGGGTGGAGTTAGAACGGTGTTACAATGGGGTGGATGTTAGAACGGTGTTACAATGGGGGTGGAGTTAGAACGGTGTTACAATGGGGTGGAGTTAGAACGGTGTTACAATGGGGTGGAGTTAGAACGTGTTACAATGGGGTGGAGTTAGAACGGTGTTACAATGGGGTGGAGTTAGAACGGTGTTACAATGGGGTGGAGTTAGAACGGTGTTACAATGGGGTGGAGTTAGAACGGTGTTACAATGGGGTGGAGTTAGAACGGTGTTACAATGGGGTGGAGTTAGAACGGTGTTACAATGGGTGGAGTTAGAACGGTGTTACAATGGGGTGGAGTTAGAACGGTGTCACAATGGGGTGGAGTTAGAATGGTGTTACAATACGGTGGAGTTAGAACGGTGTTACAATGGGGTGGAGTTAGAACGGTGTTACAATGGGGTGGAGTTAGAACGGTGTCACAATGGGGTGGAGTTAGAACGGTGTTACAATGGGGTGGAGTTAGAACGGTGTTACAATGGGGTGGAGTTAGAACGGTGTTACAATGGGGTGGAGTTAGAACGGTGTTACAATGGGGTGGAGTTAGAGCGGTGTTACAATGGGGTGGAGTTAGAACGGTGTTACAATGGGGTGGAGTTAGAACGGTGTTACAATGGGGTGGAGTTAGAACGGCGTTACAATACGGTGGAGTTAGAACGGTGTCACAATGGGGTGGAGTTAGAACGGTGTTACAATGGGGTGGAGTTAGAACGGTGTTACAATGGGGTGGAGTTAGAACGGTGTTACAATGGGGTGGAGTTAGAACGGTGTTACAATGGGGTGGAGTTAGAACGGTGTCACAATGGGGTGGAGTTAGAACGGTGTCACAATGGGGTGGAGTTAGAACGGTGTTACAATGGGGTGGAGTTAGAACGGTGTTACAATGGGGTGGAGTTAGAACGGTGTTACAATGGGGTGGAGTTAGAACGGTGTTACAATGGGGTGGAGTTAGAACGGTGTTACAATGGGGTGGAGTTAGAACGGTGTCACAATGGGGTGGAGTTAGAACGGTGTTACAATGGGGTGGAGTTAGAACGGTGTTACAATGGGGTGGAGTTAGAACGGTGTTACAATGGGGTGGAGTTAGAACGGTGTTACAATACGGTGGAGTTAGAACGGTGTCACAATACGGTGGAGTTAGAACGGTGTTACAATGGGGTGGAGTTAGAACGGTGTTACAATGGGGTGGAGTTAGAACGGTGTTACAATGGGGTGGAGTTAGAACGGTGTTACAATGGGGTGGAGTTAGAACGGTGTTACAATGGGGTGGAGTTAGAACGGTGTTACAATGGTGTGGAGTTAGAACGGTGTTACAATGGGGTGGAGTTAGAACGGTGTTACAATGGGGTGGAGTTAGAACGGTGTTACAATGGGGTGGAGTTAGAACGGTGTTACAATACGGTGGAGTTAGAACGGTGTTACAATGGGGTGGAGTTAGAACGGTGTTACAATGGGGTGGAGTTAGAACGGGGCGGTGTTGCAAAGGCGTGGCGTTAGAGCAACGCGCGCAGGCGGGCGAGGGGTCGCGAAGGGGGTGGGGGCGGGGGTTGGAACTCCGAGAGCGCGATGAGGAAGATGAGGAGGAGGAGGAGGAGGAGGAAGAGGAGGAGGAGGAGGGTCGCGTCATTACCGTGAAGATGTTGGACCGTCGCTTGGGCACCCTGCGGGCCAGCGTGGGGGTGGGGGCGTCCCCCCCCCGCCCCTCCGCTGGCCCCCACTCCCCCGCGCACAGCGAGTGGGCCGACAGACGAGCCGGGGACTGCGACAAACACCGACATCGTCGTCGTCATTGTGATGTCATCATCCACACCATTGTTGTCATTGTGATGTCATCATCTACATCGTCGTCGTCACTGTGATGTCATCATCCACACCATTGTTGTCATTGTGATGTCATCATCTACATCGTTGTCGTCGTCATTGTGATGCCATCATCCATACCGTTGTTGTCATTGTGATGTCATCATCTACAACGTCGTCGTCATTGTGATGTCATCATCCACACCATTGTTGTCATTGTGGCCAACTACAAGAAACGTCTGACCTCTGTGATTGCCAACAAGGGTTTTGCCACCAAGTACTAAGTCATATTTTGCAGAGGAGTCAAATACTTATTTCCCTCATTAAAATGCAAATCAATTTATAACATTTTTGACATGCGTTTTTCTGGATTTTGTTGTCTCTCACTGTTCAAATAAACCTACCATTAAAATTATAGACTGATCATTTCTTTGTCAGTGGGCAAACGTACAAAATCAGCAGGGGATCAAATACTTTTTTTCCCTCACTGTAAATGCCCACGCGGTGATGATGATGATGATGAGCCCACTTCATTGAACTCTCATTCGTGATGGCCAGGTCGCTTCTGAAACATAAGCTACGTAAGCAGGCCGAGTGGGGGCTTACCCGGTAAAAAAAAAAAAATTTTGTAATTGTTTCGTAAAAAAATATTTAGTTGAGATTCAACGTTCTTAAATCTCTCGGTCGCTGTCCAGCGAGCGATACGAATGGGTAAACGATAGTCATTCCATTGCAGGTCGTGTGTGGTGGGGTAAGGTGTGTGTACTGCCACCACTCCGAGTATCGCTGTCAATGATGCCCACCAGGAGGCGAGCGGTGATACGCAGGAAAAATGTTCATTTGTAATTGATGAATACTAGCTTAGCAACAGAGACAAATAAACGCCAACCGCGCACACACACCCACTCAATCACTCACTCACTTTCTCGCACACACACACGCACACACACAAACTCGCACACTCACCTCGTTTGTACGCACACCTCACACCGATACTCACTCAGTCAATCACTCACTCACTCTCACCTCGCTCGCACACTCACTCACTCACACACACACTCACACACGAGACAAAGATGCCCCCGTGTAGCTTCGCTGTTAGCGAGCAGCGCCTATCAAGGCGGGAACGGCACACGAAGAGGCGGGTGGCCGACACCACGCCCGGCCGACTTTGTCTCCCGAGTGGCGATGCTTACTACACACCGCACCAGGTGCTCGCTTGAACCGAGTCTACTTAGGGGAGGCCCAGCACCGGTTCAGATAACTTTCGTCACCGGTGTTGGCCGCGAGCGGGAATCGAACTCGGCTCGCCGGGATCGTAGCGCGGCGACGCTAACCGCCGCGCCTGCACCCGCGCGCACACACACACACCCGTGTGTTTGTGTGTGTGTGTGTGCCCGCACACACACACACACACACCCGTGTGTTTGTGTGTGTGCCCGCACACACACACACACACCCGTGTGTTTGTGTGTGTGTGTGTGCCCGCACACACACACACACACCCGTATGTTTGCCATCGCTGCAGATAACGAACGCAGAGGTGGAGTTCGTGGGTCAGACGAGGTGAAGGTTTGGACCTGATGACCCCAAGTGGGGGAGGGGTGGTGGTGGTGGTGGTGGATGGCTCACGAACTCACTGCGTTGGTCAGGCTGGAGCCATCGTGCGCAGCGGAGCCGGGGAGCGCCGAGAAATCTGGAAGAGGGCACACAAACAACACGGACACACGCGGTTACAATTGCCGCCACCCCCCCCCCCCCCCCCCGAGGGTATGCGAACCTACAGGTCTCTCTGCGAGTCTACGGGTCTCCGTGCGAGTCTCTGTGGGTCTCTGTGCGAGTCTGTAGGTTTCTGTGCGAGTCTGTGGGTCTCTGTGCGAGTCTCTGTCGGTCTCTGTGCCAGTCTGCGGGTCTCTGTGCGAGTCTATGGGTCTCTGTGTGAGTCTATGGGTCTCTGTGCGAGTCTATGGGTCTCTGTGTGAGTCTATGGGTCTCTGTGTGAGTCTATGGGTCTCTGTGTGAGTCTATGGGTCTCTGTGTGAGTCTATGGGTCTCTGTGCGAGTCTGCGGGTCTCTGTGCGAGTCTGCGGGTCTCTGTGCGAGTCTATGTGTCTCTGTGTGAGTCTATGGGTGTCTGTGTGAGTCTATGTGTCTCTGTGTGAGTCTATGGGTCTCTGTGTGAGTCTACGGGTCTCTGTGCGAGTCTGCGGGTCTCTGTGCGAGTCTGCAGGTCTCTGTGCGAGTCTATCTATGTGTATGTAAGTTGAACCTGTTAATACATTAACATTTAACCTGTTAATACATTAACAGGTTAAATGTCTCACACTTACACAGACGCAGTTGCTCGGGCCCTCGATGTGACTGCGGCGCTGCGACCTTACATTGACATGCAAATTTCCCACATTAACATAACAAGCCCCACCCACTTCGTTCATGACCCTTGGGCTACACCCATTTCAAACCTTTACAACAGCCTGCGTCAGCAGCTTTTCCCCTCTTTTTTTCTCCTGATGACGATTGCTTGCGTTGCGATCGAAACGTCGTGATTTTTATTATTTTCTATTAACTTCATCTTCATTTTTAGAATTTTTTTCTATCTTCGTGACTTTACCGAAAAAACCCCAAAGAATATGAATTCTTGCAGTCACGAAAGCTTAAGTCAAGATTTTACTCGCACAGTAAAGTAATTGTATTTTTGTCATTTGCTATACAGCCAGATAATATGACAAATCGCTAACCTTAAACACCCGGTTGTTCATAACAGTTGAAGGCTGTATAGTACTATAGTAGTAGAGCAAGTGCAGAATCACTGAACCGGAATTGATAGCTTCAAAGTATTTAGCGCGGGGCACTTGAAAGTGTGGGGCCCCGTAGCTACTACACGTGTAGTTGCTACTACACGTGTAGTTGCTACTACACGTGTAGTTGCTACTACACGTGTAGTTGCTACTACACGTGTAGTTGCTACTACACGTGTAGTTGCTACTACACGTGTAGTTGCTACTACACACCCCCCTGCGCTGCCCGGTCACCTCGTTAGCATCTCGAGGTGCAAGAGCGATCACAGCGTGCCGAGTGCGAGCAGCACGCGTCCCTCTCTCTCTATCAGTGGCTGCACTGATGCCACCGGTGGTCAATTCCACGTTGCTATGGCGGGGACAATTGACCTTGCACCGCGTGGTGCGGCCTCGTGATGTGGCGCTCATTTTACAGACACCCCCCGAAGTCCGGAGTAGATGACGGTGGTGGTGGTGGTGATGAGCACCATCCATACATGACGTCACGCGATTTTGGACGATTTTTGACCCCCCCTCCCTCGTCACACGGCGTCAAAAAAAGTCAGACCCCCCCCCCCCCCCCGTCAAATATGACGTCAAATCGCTTTAAACCATTGTCATTGTAGTGCGTATTTAATGTGGCGCTGCACTCTGATGTTGTAGGAGAAAACATTCTATTTAATTAAGTAGAACGTGTTGTCTATATTTATTTAAAGTTGCGCATTTTGATGTGACGTCACATTTCTCAAACCTCCCCGTCGTCACACATCGTCACAAATGTCTGACCACCCCCCCCCCCCCCCCCCAGGTGCGTGACGTCATTTATGGACGGCCCCTAATGATGACGGCGGTTAAGATGGTGGTGTGGTGGTGGTCGTGAAGGTGGTGGTGATGAAGACGGTAGTGGTGGTGGAGGTCGTGAAGATGGTGGTGATGGTCGTGAAGGTGGTGGCGATGACGGTGGTTGTTAAGATGGTGGTGGTACTGGTTGTTGTGAAGATGGTGCTGCTGATATTGATTTTTTAATGACCTTGACGATGTTGCAGGTCGTAATGATGAATAATGACTTATGATGGCGTTGACAAGCCTGATGTTTCTGGTGTTGATGATGAGAAATTACGACGATGTTGATGCTGGGTGGTGATGAAGAAAGCGACAGTGATGATGATGGTTGTAATCATGGCGACATGACAACGATGTTCACACGATAACAAGGACGATGGCTGCAATGACGATGACGTCTATGATGATTATTATTATTCATTGGACGTGTTTTTTTTTATTTGCCAGCAGCAACAACGAAAAAACCTGTCCATCATGCACCTAGGAGTGGCTCTGAACACGTGTTCACCCTCCCTCCTCCCCTCCCCCCACACCTTCCCCCCCACCAACACCCCCCTCCCCCCCACACCAACACCCTCCCCTCCCCCCACACCTTCCACCTCCTCCCCCCACCAACACCTCCCCCCCACCAACACCCCCCTCCCCCCACACCAACACCCTCCCCTCCCCCCACACCTTCCTCCTCTGCCACCCACCTCGACTCACGCTCACCACGCCTGACCACCCATCCACCACCACCCCGGTCTAGCCATAACACAGACTGACTGCTGGGGGCAAGTGCTGTTAGCGAGCACCTATTAAGGTCGGCAGGGACAGCGGTGGGGGTACGCCCGGGCCGTCTTTGTCTCCCCAGCGGAGACGTTCACGGCTCTGGAAATCGGGGGCGCGGTTAAAATGAATTGGAAATCTGCAGCCTGCATCGTCTTGAATCGGAATGGTTTGCTTATTTAAGGCCGAGTTGGCCTAGGCGAGACCCAGAACAGGTACACATATCACTTCGCCTCTGATGGTAGCCGTGGGTTCGGGGGGGATCTAACTTTAGGTGGGAAAGATCGTAGCGCAGTGCGCTAACCACTGCGCCACCACTCCCCACCAACACACAGAGAAAACCACAACCACCACCACCCTCTAATTTCACAACTCCCATCGCTACAATTTCTTCCAAATAAGGGTCACAAAGTCTCATTATTTGCTTATTTACTTCTGCAACCACGTGGAGAATTGAAAATAAATCCAGTTCCCAGGCCTTATATAGCACTTTGTCAAGAAGGATAACACGGGAGAAAGATCCCCCAAGTAGCCTTTAACAGGCTGTTTGGGGGCAAGTGTTGTTAGCGAGTAGCACCTATAAAGGCCCGCACGGCACACGAGGGGAGAACGTGACCAACACCACGCCCGGCCGCCTTTGTCTCCCTAGTGGCGATGTTTACACACCGCACGTAGGTATTCATTTGAGGCTGAATCGACCTAGGGGAGGCCCAGGCACGGTTCAGATAATCGTCACGAACCCGGCGACCCGAGTTCGATTCCCGCTCAGGGCCAACATCAGCGACGATTACCTGAACCTGAACCGGTCCTGGGTCGACTCAGCCTCAAATGAGTAACCTGGTGCATTGTGTAAACCTCGCCCTGTGGAGAGACAAAGGCGGCCGGGCGTGGATGATGGCCACCCCCCCCCCCCCTTCGCGTGCCGTTCCGGCCTTCATTAGGTGCTGCTACTCGCTAAGCGCACTTGCCCCAACAGTCTGTTGAGGCTACACGGGGGATCTTTGGTGGGCATGTTGGGGGTTATGACGATGTCCGAGGTACGGGGGGGGGGGGGGAGTCGTGGTGGAAATGTGGGGGGGGGCTGCATAATAAATAAATAAATAACCCCCGCAGGAATGTTCAAGCGGGTCATGACCTCCACATTTCCACGGTCAGGCATTTAACTCCACACAGATACCCAACACAAAGGTCTCCCGTGTAGCCTTCGACAGGCCGCCAGGGGCAAGTGCAGCGGACGAGCAGGAGCAGCAGCAGCACCCTATGAAGGCCGGCACGGCACACGAAAGCGATCGGTAGCCAGCAACCACGCCCGGCCGCCTTTGTCTCCCCGACGCTGATCTCTACACGCCGCACCAGGCACTCGTTAAAAGATCCATCGAGCGAGTTTGGTTTCGCTCAGGAGGGCCAGACGCGAGCCAAATTATTTGGTAACATCGAGGCGGCTTTGCTCACAGACTCCTAATTGCTCAGGAGGGCTTGGAGCCTCAGACATGAGTCACACGCAAAGACAAAGATCCCCCGTATAGCCCGAACAGACTGTCGGGGCAAGCGAGCAGCAGCACCTATGAAGGTCGGCACGGCACACGAGGGGGGTGGGTGGCCAACACCGCGCCCGGCCGCCTTTGTCTCCCCAGTGGCGATGTTTACTACACACCGCACCAGGTCACTCATTTGAGGCCGAGTCGACCTAGGGGGAGGCCCAGGACCGGTTCAGAGAATCGTCACCGGTGCCAGTGGCCGTGAGCGGGAATCGAACTCGGGTCGCTGATCGCTCCACTACCGCTCACACAAGGCCAGCTGCTGCAACATCGTTGCCTCAAGGCGTCACGGACGACTTCAACTCGCAATCCCTGCGCCGCAACCGCAAGGTACTCGCGTGAGAGAGAGAGAGAGGACGACTCAGAGAGAGAGAGGACGACTCAGAGAGAGAGGACGACTCAGAGAGAGAGAGGACGACTCAGAGAGAGAGAGAGGACGACTCAGAGAGAGAGAGAGGACGACTCAGAGAGAGAGGACGACTCAGAGAGAGAGAGAGAGGACGACTCAGAGAGAGAGGCCGACTCAGAGAGAGAGGACGACTCAGAGAGAGAGAAGACGACTCAGAGAGAGAGAAGACGACTCAGAGAGAGAGAAGACGACTCAGAGAGAGAGGGAGGACGACTCGGAGAGAGAGGACGACTCGGAGAGAGAGAGAGGACGACTCCGAGAGAGAGGACGACTCCGAGAGAGAGGACGACTCAGAGAGAGAGGACGACTCAGAGAGAGAGAGGACGACTCAGAGAGAGAGAGGACGACTCAGAGAGAGAGA